ATACATACATACATACATACATGCATACATACATACAATAGTTGTAATCTACAAGGAGTCTGTATGACAAAGGCAGTATAAGAAAATCAATCAATCAATCAGTGACTCAGTTTTGCACCCAGTAGCAGCACCAAGCAACTGATTTCATGCCAATATGAACCAGACCGTAGGGATCTGCAGAACTTAGAACTCTGTAAAATGTTTTTATGTAGAGATATTCTGGCCAAATGCCTTCCTTTGACATCCATTGCAAGATCAGATGTCTTTCAGTAAGTATAATCTTTATTGCCATTGTACTTAAATACAACGAAATTGGTTCAGAACAACTTGTTCCAAAGTTGGAACATTTCTGATGAAGCCGGAACAGCTTAGAATTCAGAAAGCTTTCACCTTGAATATTTCCACACCTTTATTCAATCAGCCCAATTTTTTTTATCTAAAATGGGAAACTGCAGGTTTTAGAGTGAGCTTATAAACTTCAGATTACAACTACATTTATGCCAGGACCACCAAAGCACTTCCAGGTTGAAAGGATTGAACAGTGACATCACTGTTGCTCAGGGGCTGCCCAGTTGGGGGGGGGCTCCTTTCAGTTCCCCCTTAAGTCGCCCCACCGATGTGGTACCCATCTATCTGCCCACATTCTCCTGCTTTCAAACAACTGGGTCAGCAGAAGCACCCCAGGGGGTCTCAAATGCAAACCTGCAATCATCAGTCCTAATCTCATGAACTACCATACTACTCCAGAACTTCAGATAATCTCAATGATTACATTGGGAGGGGGGGGGGTATTGGGAGCTGGATATTAGCCCTAAGTGCCATTTTCAGTTGGTTTAGTTTTTTTCAGTCTTACAAAAATCTGTAACCCCTTCTTCTATTCTACTGGGATGTTTCTGTTTTTGTTATTTTTTTCCTTGAAAATCCTGCGTTGTGTAGTCTATCCATTGAGCATTCTTGGCATGAAAATGTACAATAAATGTCCAAATATCATACTAAATCCAGACGGCAAAACATTGGGAATAACTATTTATTGCATGTAATATCGATGCAGTTTTACCATATCCAAGAGGAAACCCCTAGAAAAAAAGAAATAGTACCATTTCAGATAGAAAAAACGGATAAAGGACTTACCGTTGATTTGCCTTTACTATAACAAGCTTTCTTAGTAGTCTCATCACAACGCCATTCCACACCCTAACATTCAAAAACATAATGATTATTTATTCACAAAACCAAATACAATCTGATATTCCCATTGAAAGAGAGTCATTTTCTACTGAAATCTGCCACATTGACGTCAAATTACAAGGAAAATCAAAAATTATGATACACCCTGAAATGAACATGCAACATATTTGCTGATTTATGGTCAAACTACACAAGATCTGGATTAGCAATGTTCTTTCATCGTCCGTGTTCAATTATGAAAGTCAAATTGTTTACTAAAAGAAGGTTTATGTTTGTCCTTCCAATTGTTTGATACCCACTCTTTTTCTCCTCTGATATTGGAAGTCCCACTGATACTGAACACATCCGCCGTCCTATTTTATATGTGAAAACGGCAGGCATAATGTTCCTCTTGTGTGAGAGACAAATATTACTACACTATTCTTTCCAAATTATCCCAGGACAGCTTGCAATATATGAAAACTATCAAACCATGAAAGAAAAAGAAAATGAAAGTAATAGGATACACATATATGGGCATCTGTAAAGTTATATGTGGGTTTTGGCCATACATGGGTCCTTAAAGATAATTGGACCATTTTTTTTCCTGGGAAGGTATTCTTCAGATAAAGCAGCTGTTCTGAAAATATCGTTCCATTTGACAGTGAAAGGATCCAACATGAGCAGGTAAATTCAACATCCAGACAATTTTGTAATGGGTGTGTGCATATGTTTAAGTGATTGTTATCTCAAACAATTTAGGTAAGCACCAACACTTTAAAATAGCCTTGAAAATTTTCCCCACAACTGATAGAGCATGTTTTTTTTTTAAAAAAAAAAATTAAGTCTAGAAACTGCACTTTATATTTTACCTGCAGGAATCCTCAAATACAAGACCCATTTTTGAGATTTGCAGAAGATTAATCAGAAGATTAATAAAGTATCATCCCAATATGAGAAAAATCACCACTGGCGTAACTTAAGTGACAAGAAGAAACAGAAAATACCAATGACACATCGCTACAAATGTTTGAATGATCTTTCTTGACACCTTTTATGGTTCATCAAAATCATAGACAAGATAAAACTTGGCAGGAGTTTCATAACAAAGATGCTATTAGGAAAGCAATAATTGACAAAGCTGCATTCTAGGCAAGTTCTGCAGACTGACGCAAAACCACTATATCTACCACCTATCTAAATATATCTAGGGTTCTAGAAGAACAAGATTTTATCTCCTGGATTTTTATTAGCAGGGCTATTACAACAGTCTCGCTACAAAGTCAGAAGTTGATTTGATACAGATAAGAGTTGTGCATTTACCACCTGTTTGAACTCCTTGCCCCTGAAGGAGAATTAGTGATTGATTAGTTCTGAATACATCCTTAGGATGGCACATATAGGGCAGTTGGTCTAAATATTTTAGTCTTATACCAACCTGTTCTGACCCCCTCCCTTCTCCGTCCAGGAACGAAAGCCAAAACAGACGTACAAAAGAATGTTTTAATCAGTCCAAGCTCTCCTTGGCTGCAAGCCCAAAATAAACTAATAGATAAGCTCTCTAGCAGCAATTAAAAAAGCTTCTCACAGCAAACCACTTATCCAAGTTGGTTTCTCTGAATCATGAACATGAACAAGAACGAGAACGTTGACTCCTGCAACCAGGGCGTGGCACAAACAGTCCCTTTTATAATCAGGAGAGGATCTTAATCAGCATCAGCTG